CTCACTCACTCACTCACTCACTCACTCACACTCACACTCACACAAAAGATCATGACATGTAACACACCGAAACAAATGATTATTTAACTCACATTTGCAGAAATAAAACGCCTGCAATCACAGATCATCAGCATAAACTCAAACATTTCTCACCAAAAGATCCACATTCATTGTATAGCTCTGTATTCTCGTGCTCTCACTTTCTCCAATGCTGATGTGTTTGTCTGACTGCAGGTTACATCGGTGTGGTGAACCGCAGTCAGAAAGACATCGATGGGAAGAAGGATATTAACGCTGCTATGGCGGCGGAGAGGAAGTTTTTTCTGTCTCATCCCGGTTACAGACACCTGGCCGACCGCATGGGAACGCCGTTCCTGCAGAAAACTCTCAACCAGGTGAGACTGTAGAGACTGAAATGTGTAAACATCAATCTAAACTCTTTGTTTGGTTTGTTCTGGCGACATACACACTGCAAAGGTTTGGGAATAACAGCTGTATTTCAGTGGATGAACTAGATAAGGCGGTGGGGGCGGAGTGATGAAAAGCCAAACTCATGAATATTAATTAGGTTACATACACAAATAATGTTACACGATCTTTTAATGTTATGAGAAATAAAGTCTATGTAATGTAATTTATTTACCTTTGATAACCCAATTGCTGAAGGGTCTGCACAACCTTATAGTACAATTTCAAGTTGCACTGTTCAAAATACCTGTCGTAGCACAGCAGTGCATACCTGTTTACATTTCATTAAGGTGGACTAGATTAGACTGTAATACTAATAGTTGAGTTTGCCAGGTGCATGCAACATTTATGACAGGTTTTCATGAAAGTGTTGGTCAGTTTGTCTGCTTCACAATCCCATTTTGCACTGCAACAATAAAACTGAAGTGAGATAAACAAACTGAGAAATGTTTCTTTTTAGTTAAAACAGATGTTGTCAAAGTTTTTGTTTGGGGACATAATTTGAAGTTGGAAAAAGGTAATCATTTGCAATATATCGCAACTGAAATGTGTAAACATCAATCTAAACTCTTTGTTTGGTTTGTTCTGGCGACATACACACTGCAAAGGTTTGGGAATAACAGCTGTATTTCAGTGGATGAACTAGATAAGGCGGTGGGGGCGGAGTGATGAAAAGCCAAACTCATGAATATTAATTAGGTTACATACACAAATAATGTTACACGATCTTTTAATGTTATGAGAAATAAAGTCTATGTAATGTAATTTATTTACCTTTGATAACCCAATTGCTGAAGGGTCTGCACAACCTTATAGTACAATTTCAAGTTGCACTGTTCAAAATACCTGTCGTAGCACAGCAGTGCATACCTGTTTACATTTCATTAAGGTGGACTAGATTAGACTGTAATACTAATAGTTGAGTTTGCCAGGTGCATGCAACATTTATGACAGGTTTTCATGAAAGTGTTGGTCAGTTTGTCTGCTTCACTTAATATTGTATCGGGACACAAGTATCGTGATAATATCGTATCGTACTGTAAACACATGAATTGCTTAAAAACAATCAAGAAAAATATGAATTTGTTGCGCTACTTATAAAGTAAAACAGATTCGCTATTAAAAAAAGAACATGATTTAGAATGTTAGTAAACAATCGTCGACAAACACGACGGTAACTCCGTCTAAACTAGCTGTTCAGTTCTGTTCGTATAATACGCATGTAATTTCAGAGCGTAATATTTGTTCCAAATATGAATAAAACATGCATCTTACTAAAAGTTATTGTGGATTTACTATGGTACAGTGATGCTATCTGATGGTCATACAGTGTAATGATTACAATATTCATGCAGTTAAAATAATACGGCTTTATTATAAAGTATGGTATGAAACTAATACTTTTTGTATACTTTATATATTTTGTACATTATTTGTATTTTGATTTGACAATGCAAATCATTTGGAGAAGCTAATGGAGCGATATAAAAATAAAGTTTTAGTATGAAAAAATAAAATTTTCTTTTAGTTTTTTAGTTTGGTTAGTGACAGAATGTTTGTGGACATAAGTACAATTAAATATTTTCTTATTTGAAAAAATTCTATTAATTAAAACGCAGTTTTTCTAAGGTATTTAGATTGTAGAAATTAATGTAATATAGATAATCTTGACTTTAACATTTTTTATTCGTTATTTTGAACTCAGTGCACAAAATATTTGTGTAGTATGGATAAAATATGATATCGCTATGATATAGAAATGTAGAAAAAATGTAATTATCATTTATGCAAATTAAATGTACCCTAAATTATGAAACGAGCCATGTAGCATGTTTTTATCATTTTGATTTTAATTCTGAATATTCATGCATTTAAAAGGTACTCTACATTGCATTACAAAAGAAAAGGGTGTACATTAATACATTTTGTTACCACTATATACATTGTGCATATGTTGCTTTTACTTTGCATAGTTACCTTTAACATTGCAACGATTGTTAGTGTAGAAATGAATCCTCAACCTCTGATCGTCTTCATCTTTCATCTCTTCTGCAGCAACTGACCAATCACATCCGTGACACGCTCCCTGCGCTGCGCACTAAACTGCAGAGCCAGCTGCTGTCCATCGAGAAGGAAGTGGAGGAATACAAGAACTTCCGACCGGACGATCCCTCCCGGAAGACCAAAGCCCTGCTGCAGTCAGTCAATCACATTCACCGTCTCTGCATGAACAAATGAAGCTCGTATCCTCAGAACTGCAGATGTAGAGTATGCATTGCTTGGTTTCAGGATGGTGCAGCAGTTCTCTGTGGATTTCGAGAAGCGTATCGAGGGCTCTGGAGATCAGATAGACACGTACGAGCTGTCTGGAGGAGCCAGAATCAATCGCATCTTCCACGAGCGCTTCCCCTTCGAGCTGGTGAAGGTGCGAGAGCAAGCGTGCGAACACACACTCACATGTGCACTTCTCATAGACTGTATTTTTCCACTCACCATTCGCATTAATCATGATGGGACGCGATAAATGCATTTATACACATGCACAGTTGCATTTACTCCAGCCTGAGTCCTGATCTACAGGCATATGTGAAATATTATTACAATATAAAATAACTGTTTTCTATGTGAGTATCTGTTAAACTGTAATGTATTTCTGTGATGCGCAGCTGTATTTTCAGCATCATTCCTCCAGTCTTCAGTGTCACATGATCTTCAGAAATCACTATAATATGTTGATCTGCTGCTCGAGAAACATTTCTGATTATTATCAATGTTGGAATCACACACACACACACACTCTCATACACTCACACACACACTCTCTCTCTCTCTCTCTCTCTCTCTCTCACACACACAGATACACACACACACACTCTCATACACTCACACACAGAGAGACACACACACACACACACACTCTCTCTCTCACACACACAGATACACACACACTCTCATACACTCACACAGAGACACACACACACACACTTTTTAGTGAGATATGATCTGAATATGCTCATGGTTTATTCAGTAGCGTGTTGTGTGTCCTCAGATGGAGTTCAACGAGAAGGAGCTGCGCAAGGAGATCAGCTACGCCATCAAGAACATCCACGGCATCAGGCACGTCTGTCCTTCAGTCCTGTCCTGTTTCATGTGTCCCGCTCGATCGTCTGCGGCCATACGTCACACATCTAATCACAAGCGGCTTTGACTCTGTTCAGGGTCATCTCGTCTGATCAGAGGAACATGAGGACGGGTTTGTGATTAGACTGGTGACCATCCGTCTCCTCGCTCTTTAGCTTGCTTTCTCCTCTTTAGGCCAAGAAACGTGATGCTTGGGCTTCGAGAGCTAACATGAGGCTTGTGTTTTGTGAGATTATGTCTCAGTTCAGACGAGAGGACTCCGCTGAAGTCTGCTGTTATATGAACAATGCAGAGTTCTGCTTTTAAATAGCAGAGCATTTGGTTAGTCACTGCTAGTCAAGGTTAAATATTTTTATATAGTTGATATGACTAATCATATATATTAAATTAGGTGTGAATGTTTTTTTTTCTTTTAGAATTGTATTTAATTTTATATTATTATATATATATTTTATTTAATGCATTTTGTTTTGATGCAAACAAAATATGTAACAAAAAATTATAATTTTACAATAAGGTCCCATTAGTAAACAATAGTTAACTAACAGATTAAACTTAAATTTACAGTAGAAAACGTATATTTAATTAACTTAAGTAATGTTAATGTACCGTATTACTAAAATATTTTACTTTCTTTTTTGACAACCACCTTGTGACAAAAACAAATGGTGTAGAAACCATTTTCACTCAGAAATTGCTGGTAAATTTCACTAAAAATACAAAGAAATGGCAAGTGTTTTATTTATGAATGATAAATAAATCTTGCTGTTTCTTTATAATTCGATACGATTAATTATAGTTGTTTCTTTATAATTGAAATTTACTTGCATTATTTTGAGTGAAAATTATTTCTGAAATTGCCTCTGAATGTTTTTTCTTTTAGAATTTTATTTGATTTAATATTAATTATTAATATTATACATGTTTATTTAATGCATTTTGTTTTGATGCAAGCAAAATAATAACTTCACAATAAAGTTCCATTAGTAAACATTAGTTTACAATACATGTTGTTAAATAATTAATAAAAAAATATTTTTAATTGTTAGTTCATGTTAATTAATGCAATTAACTAATGTTAACAAATGGGATCTTACTGTAAAGTGTTACTAATTTTTGTTACATATTAAGATTTTCTATTTTTGCTCAATTAAATATATATATTAGGGGTGGGTGAAGACGGCGCTCACAGAGCGTGCGAGTATTGAACCGAGTTATTTTTGCCGCTTTATAGACCGTGAACGGTTAAATACACACACTTGTATGTGTCAAAACGCCCATCTTGGCAAGTATCCTCATAAACACAGTCATTTGGGTCTAAAGTGAAAGCAAACAGCTGAGAAAGAAAACACACGTGCTACAGTATACTGGATCCGTGTAGCTCTTAAAGTGACAGCAGTCTAATATTCCTGCTGTCTGTCATTCACGTTAATCGAACAACAAAAGAGAGAAAATCTCTCACTGCTCTTGACTAAATCACTTTTCTAACTTTCTAAAAGAAGAAATATACATTTAATTTACATGGTGAGGAATACGCAGTGTTTTTATACATTTGATTAGTTTATACAATGTTTGTAGCATTTCTTATTTATTTGTTCTACTGTAGTTTTTTTGTCCTATTGCTTGTAATTAGTTTGTCAGTGAGCTTGAGTTTATTTAGGCCAGTATTAGTTTCTTTGTGATATTGACGTTGGTGACAAGAAATATGACATTTCTATGGTATCAAAAATTTTGATATCATAAAGACTGTATTAAAAGCAAAAATAACTATATTTTTGTATATACACACACACACACACACACACACACACACACACATAAAC